TTTTCCCAATGGCATCCCGCTGCTTGCTCCCTGCTGCTGGAGCATTGATGCTCATGTGTTTCCTCCCTGCAGCCTTTGTGGTGCTTCCTGGTGTTCAGACCCCGGCCCTTCACGATGCAAAGGCGCAAGGAGGTGCATCCTTTGCCAACCTCAGCATGGCCAGCATTGCCACCACAACCGCTGCATTTGGTGTCGCAGCTGCTGTTGCGCGAAGCCGCAGTCGAGAAGGAAAGACAGCAGCCAAGTACACAACGCAGACGATCTTGCCATCGCTGGCATGGATCAAGACGGGCGCGAGGGCCTCTGAGTTGCAGCCCACTGAGTTGAAGGCACTGACACTCGCAGGCAATGACGTGTTGATTGGCAAGACTGAGGCTGGTGCTCTCTTCTGCGTTGGCAACTTGTGCCCTCACATTGGCACTCCCATGAGCGAGGGTGCGGATGTCATCGGTGATGTGATTGTATGCCCTTTGCACGGCTCTTCCTTTAAGGTGACAACTGGTGAGCTCATCGACTGGTGCGTCTCCCCACCCATCATTGGTCCTCTCACGGGCTTGATCGTGGACAAGAAGAACCTCCTGATTTTCGAGTGCCGCCAGGGTGGCTTCTTGGGAAGCGGAGAGGTCGAGGTGCTGGTAGACACGAACGCCAAGAAGGCCTACGAAGCTAACTACTGGAAGGGCTTGCTGGACGCACAGGGCAAAGATGATGGTACCTACTACTGAGATGTGACCCCTTCAATTTTTCACAGACCAATCCTCCGCGCCAGAGGGTTAACATGCATTTGTGCACTGTGGGGGTGTGATGGAGTGCAAGCAGACATGCTGTAAATAGGCCGCTGTTATTTGCGGGTTGAGTTATATATGTCATTGGAAAAGATCCAGGTCTGCAATGCCTGCCGTTGTGTCCAGAAGCAGTGCCAGTAGAAGAAGGTTGCCCAACGGGGTGCCCTTAGCAGTCCTCAAAAGCTCGCTCCTTTTGGCAGGCGTGCTCCCAAGATACGCCTGCTGGCATCCTTGTTCCTAGTAGCGGTGCCCTTTGTTACTAGTAGCGTCCTTTCTCCTAGTAGTACGGCCAGGAGCCCCTAGTAGCGTCCTTGCTCCTAGTAGCGATGCCCTTTGTTACTGGGGTGCTCCAAGTGCCAAAGGAAGGGAATGAAATGTTTGCGCCCAGGTGGACGTGGCTGCTTTGGCAGGCCATTGGTTTTCCTTTGTTCTTGCTGTCAATCGGACACGGGTTCTGTACCGTTGTGACTGCGAGGAGACGAGGATTTCATGGTGTAGCTAGAGGACAATGCCGATTGCTAAGAGTTCCAGTGGCAGCCGCTATTTTGAGAGAATCATCGTGATACGTTTACCTCCAGTGCAATTTTTGTGGTCTCAAAGGTAGCCTTCAGGTAAGACATTGCAGGCGTCGTGTGCCCCGATTTTCCCAATGGCATCCCGCTGCTTGCTCCCTGCTGCTGGAGCATTGATGCTCATGTGTTTCCTCCCTGCAGCCTTTGTGGTGCTTCCTGGTGTTCAGACCCCGGCCCTTCACGATGCAAAGGCGCAAGGAGGTGCATCCTTTGCCAACCTCAGCATGGCCAGCATTGCCACCACAACCGCTGCATTTGGTGTCGCAGCTGCTGTTGCGCGAAGCCGCAGTCGAGAAGGAAAGACAGCAGCCAAGTACACAACGCAGACGATCTTGCCATCGCTGGCATGGATCAAGACGGGCGCGAGGGCCTCTGAGTTGCAGCCCACTGAGTTGAAGGCACTGACACTCGCAGGCAATGACGTGTTGATTGGCAAGACTGAGGCTGGTGCTCTCTTCTGCGTTGGCAACTTGTGCCCTCACATTGGCACTCCCATGAGCGAGGGTGCGGATGTCATCGGTGATGTGATTGTATGCCCTTTGCACGGCTCTTCCTTTAAGGTGACAACTGGTGAGCTCATCGACTGGTGCGTCTCCCCACCCATCATTGGTCCTCTCACGGGCTTGATCGTGGACAAGAAGAACCTCCTGATTTTCGAGTGCCGCCAGGGTGGCTTCTTGGGAAGCGGAGAGGTCGAGGTGCTGGTAGACACGAACGCCAAGAAGGCCTACGAAGCTAACTACTGGAAGGGCTTGCTGGACGCACAGGGCAAAGATGATGGTACCTACTACTGAG